TTATAAGTTAACTTAATTACCTGAATCTTTGTCTAGGATCCTGGTTTCTTCTTTTTCTGAGGAGCAGCTGAACCGTTATGAAATGTACCGCCGTTCAGCTTTCCCTAAGGCGGCCATTAAAAGGGTAAGGATGGACTATCACACTTCATTTTCATCAGCTGGAAGAACCAAACTGGACTCCAGAGTTATGTCCCTTGGCATTTGGAAGTGACATGTTAGGCAAGTTGGGGGTCATTTAGGCGGGAAAATAAAAATAACATGTCCCTCAATAATTTGACCAGTTTCGGTTTTGTATTCCAGGGATAGGGTCTTGACAAACAGAATCGTTGCTTTAATAGTCTCAATTTCAGCACCCGGCCTTTAGTAAACACTCAGTGCAGAGCTCTGTGGGCACTTGTTCCTAAAGCCGGGCTGGACTACTTTAACCAGTCTTTGTCCTTCTCTCCAGCTGATCCAGTCCATCACTGGCACCTCCGTGTCTCAGAATGTGGTTATTGCTATGTCGGGTATTTCCAAGGTTTTCGTCGGGGAAGTGGTAGAAGAAGGTGAGTGGTGTTGGTATAAGTAATGGCTTGAACCTGTGATGGTCTTATTTTCAAGAACGTCGGGACTGAGGGACTTAATAAGGCCCCTGTAGTAGTTTCCACTTACACTAGAGGTTGACCAAGGGGGGAGCCTTTGTATTCGGCAGAACATGACCATTAGTCCTTCAGAGTTTCCCTACTGGGAGTTAGGAAGCATCTAGGAAATGTCCCTTCCTGATTCCTGTCCGCAGCCCAGGATGACAGAAGCAGACCTTGTATTTTTCTCCAATGAACTTTGTTCATTTCTGCTGCCAAAAGATACAAGAAAAGCTGTCACTGGGGCTGACCAGTGTGAGGAGTTATCCCTGATGTTATGACCCCTGGAACTGCTCCCGTACTTATCGAGTAAAGAACTTGGCTGCTGCCCACTGCTAATCACTAGCAACCCCAGTATGTGCCCTTGACCAGGAATCAAACCCGAGACCCTTTGGTGCCAGGCCCAGTGCCCTAACCACTGAATCACGCTGGCCAGGGCAAACATGGTACATTCTAGAGAAAATGCCTTGGTTTATTTCCTCAGCAAGCTTAGAAGAGTTGATGAGAATTACAGTACTCAAAAGGATTGTGAATAAGCTCTGGTGTGATCACAAAACTGTCTCCTTACCCCCTCTTTAGCACTGGATGTGTGTGAGAAGTGGGGAGAAATGCCACCACTACAACCCAAACATATGAGGGAGGCTGTTCGGAGGTTAAAGTCGAAGGGACAAATACCCAACTCGAAGCACAAGAAAATCATCTTCTTCTAAGACCGAAGCCGAGAAAGGCCTGGCACTGGAGGACGTGCTGGGTCCAGACTTGGGATTGCAGGCTGTGCACTGGTGCTCCGGGATCTGCCCGTGTCTCCATGTCTTTCTCAACACTGTTCATCACACCAGGAAAGCATGTGGCCTGTGTCATACATGCCTTGACTAAATATTGGGACCTTTGGGCATTTTCCGGCATTTGTCTGGCTAGTTGGAAGCAGAAAGGCACATGGGCATGGCTTCCCTGGACAGGAGCTGCTTTCAGAGAGAAAACCTTTCCAAGAGAACTTTGATGGTTACGTACTGGAGCCTGAAGTTGCTGTCTTAGGTTTTCTTACCTCTGATTTTAAGTAGATGAAACAGCCAGGAACTTCTGACTTAGTGCTACTCCAAATGAATAACGTTGTGATGCAGGAGTAGTGGAATAGTTTCTCCCTGTAAACATTAAAGAATCTCCGATGGATTTTGGTGAGTGATCATTAAACTGTTTTCCAACTTGTTGTATGCGTGTTCATTTTCTGTCTAACTGGTTGGAATAGGGGGAATTCATCATTCTTTTTTTTTGGTGTCAGTAAAACTGGTCTTGGGGTTTTTTTGTGAAAATTTGAACCCTCACTTTCTACTAGAGCTATTAAAATTTAGTATCAAAAAGAGTACTTAAAGCACTTAAGAACAATGTAAAAGCCTATATATTTCAGATTTCTTATAAATAGATATAACACAACTAGTTCTGTTTAATAAGTTTAATTTGCTTTTTTCAGGTGGTTCACAGAACCAGTACACTCCAAGTTTGATTAGATATTGCAACATTAAAGTTTCCCAATACTGACCACTATTCCAGTTCATCAGATAAATTCTCATTGTTTTCCTCAAATGAAGGGGAATGGTGTGACCTTTCCGTGACAGTGATTAGCAATAATAAGGCTACGGTATTAGTTGGCAGTCCCCAGGAATTCTTTCCTCTCAGTGTCACAGGGAAGAGGGCTTGAAGCTGCTCTGAAGCTTTCCATTCGGTGGAGCACCCTGAGTGGGGAAAGACTCACAAAGTTGGGCAAATCTGACTTAGTATCTTACTAGAGTCATGGTGTTCAACTTGTCCTTAGCCAATGGAGAAGACACTTCAGTGGGGCTAAGAAGTGGTGGTAAAAGCTACCTCTTGACCAAAAACTAAAGAACCAAGGGAGACTGGGGGAACAAACAAACATTCTCAGTTCTAACAGGAATATTTTTAAGTTATAGGAACTATATTTCAATGTAAGATACTGGACAAGGCTGGAACTTAACAAGGGAGAAAGTTCACATGCCAAGTCTGGCCACTTAGCAAAACCTCCCAGTTGAAGACTAAGAGTGCTTCACCTTGTGTCTGTTTAAGAGATGGGGAAAATAATCCCCATCCAACAATAGCTACTACCCACACCTCCCCAGAGGTGACCAGGAATATTCTTATCCTAGCAGAAGGTGGGGGAAGCCATTGGTGAGAGGATAGTACATCCACCAGAATCTCTTGAAACTTAATAATGACCATGGTAAATCACAGCTTTTGCAGTTCTCAATACCTACTAGCTTATGCAGCAATGTTCAGTTATTTCCATGGTTTTATGGTGTTTTGGCTGATATTAGATGTTTAGTCAAGTATTAAAGGAGGAAAAAAACACAAGCCCTTAGTGTAAAAGTTAAAATGGAAAGTTCCCGTATCACCACAGCAATACCTCAAACAACCTTCCCACCACCCTCCTGAACTAAAAGGGAGGTTCATGTAAGTGGGTCAAGTTATGGGATGTGTGAGGGGTGGTGTTTGCGCCTTGGATGTTCCATACGCAGGAACCATTTCTTTTAGAACCATGAAAAAGTACATAAAGTTGAGGCCCATGGCAAAATCAAGGTCAGATTAAATACACAGCAAAAAGCAGCCAAAACAAGAATGGAACCCACACCTTTTGTCTTAAGAAACTAGGTTCATTATTCCAGTAGTTGAAAACAATTTGAGATTGAAAACCATCCCTGCAGCTCAGCTGAGAGATTTACACCAGTGCAAGTGCACTAAAGCATATCTCCAGTACATCCATGTAAACAGGAAATGTAGACAGTCACAGATGAGACAGTTGTAAATGTTTCACAGCCGAAATGCTGATGTGCAGTGGCTGGCGTCTGGGAAGTGGTGCTGTCATCACTCCAGACGATTTCGTGAGGTATTATTTCTTGTTCAGAGTCTTCGAGCTCCAAGGCAGAAATCGTAAGCAGTCCAAAGGAGCTGGTACTATTTTTTCCTTCACATTTATCCTGATAACCAGTTCACATTCCTTCATTATGAAAAAAAATCTTCCTTCCACTGAAGAGAAGCAGGAAGTTACACAAGATGTTTACTAAAATTCCATGGGACAATGACCCCGACCGTATTTCCTGAGGGACGGTTTCAAGATACAACAGCCAAAGCTGCTGTATAATGGAAGTCAGATATAGGACTCCATTTGTCACATGGACCAGAGCCCCAGAAAGGCCAGAAACTGACTGAGCTGGCTATTAACGGGTTAACCTTGGTATTGCCCAGGTTGTTTCTACTGCCTGCCATCAAGCACAAGTTCTTAAGGTAAAGGTATACCAGGCAATGCCGATTAGGCATGTTCTTCGCATGGAGGGATGCCAGAGGGATATGGTGAGCCAGGAAAAGAGAAAGGGAAGAAAATCAGTGTGATTTTAAACCAATTCTGGTGAGCCTAAGGTTGAATAATTCCATTTTCCAGGGACTGGATCTCCCTCCTCCCCTTCTAAGACTTTAGAAATGCCATACTTGAGAGGACTGCTGATCCATTTGTTCTCCATTCTGCCTTTGAAGAAGCATTAAGGGAGTCTGTGGAGTCGTATTTCACCAAATAGCCCCAGTGGCCTGCAATTCCTTTCGGGGGCCTACACCATGCAAGGACTCCCTACCCCTCCTGCGGCCCCGCACAGGTCCTGCCAGCGACCTTGACAACGAGCCCCACAAGTTTCTGATTTGCTATGAGGAGTGCTTCCTTTTGCCTAAGGCTCTGCGGTACAGCCCGAGAGCTAGTATTTCAGGACCTGGTGAACATGTCCTTCCTCTTGCTGGATATGTGATCAAACACCACCCTCCGCTATCATCGTTCAAGATGGGTCCTCACCTAAGTGCCTCCACCCCCCATCATTGTCGCTGCTCTCTGCAGCTGTATATTTTAAGTAAGACCCGAGGTGCACATGTGCATGGCCGTGTGAGGTCCTGTTCTGGGTTGCCTCCATGTGCCCTTGCTGATGATGTAATTGGCCTTTTGGCCTCAGTAGCACATCGACCCTTCCCCTCAGCAATGCCTCCGTTTCCGTCCTGAGTTTTAACAGAGCGCGCTGCCTCGTCAGCTGCTGTGCTGTTTTCTGTAAGTGCATTCCTTCACACTCACCTGCAATGAACCTCACCTGTCACTTTCCTGAGTATTCACAGCCTGGCTTGTGGCCCTTCTGCAGTTTTGGGGTGTGTGTGTGTGTGTTTGTGTGTGTGTGTTTATGTGTGTGTTTATGTGTGTGTTTAAAGTCTCTTCTGGTTTACCTTTCAATGCCTAGAAGTAGTGACATATGATTGCATTATAATATCCTACTTTCAGGTTATTTATGAAAATATTAAATAAGGTTCAACCAAGCATCAATCAGTAGGAAACTTCCCCTGTTAACAGTCTTTCCAGAAACATGTTTATTCTTAAGCCTCTAAGTTGTTTCCTAAGCATGACAAAATATTCCCATAATCTCACAGTAACTGGTGCTTTTAAACTGCCTTAATGAAGAACTTGACAAAAGTTCTTTAAAAGTCTGAACAAATTAGATACTGTTCCTTCTTGAACACATGTTTCTTTTTATCCTAAAAAATCTATAATATATAAGTTGGGCATGATTTCCCACAGGGAAACATTTTACCTTTCCTTCAATAGGTCAATGTGATTAAGACTTTACTGACACTACTAAATCACTAATTTACCATCCTGCAGATTCAAGGTGAGTTAGCTGATGAGTTTCTGTCCAATCAACACAGTCTGAAGTACACAAAACAGTATAGATGAAGGTAGTGTTAAGGAAGAATTAGATAGGAAAGAGAGGAGGAAATTGCGCTTTTTGGGGGGCAGGTGTCAAAACCTAGCTAGGATGAAGGGTATTTTTTTTTAAGTCAAAATTACATAATTTTAAAAGCCACAGTGATAGAGGGGAGTGGGGTGCAACAGACTAAGGTGTTTACGTTATAGTTTAAAACACACTTTCAGCTCCCAAACCAAGAGCTAAGGAGAGTGCTGGTAGAAAGTCATAGTGCTGGGGAAACAGCTGTGCCGGGGGCCCTGGGGAGACAGGAAAGCACCTCCGAGGTGCAGCCGCAGAAGAGGCAGCATTCTAGGCAGGCACCTGGGGCTCAGAACCAAGCTCCCCGCTCATCCCTACCACATCATGCCTTCAACCACCTAACCCAGAGTGATTATTATTTTGACTTAAACTTCAAATAAATTGTGTTACAGAAGGGAAAGCTGCTGTTGTTTACTTTCTACCACAGCCTCACAATGACAAAGCCTAACAAAGGAAGCTGAACCCTGAAAAATCTGATTGTAATATCAGCCAAGAAGATATGAGCTTGGTTCCCTTTCCAAAAAAAGCAGGGTCCCGGTCTCCCTTATCTCGTGCCCCTCCTGACTCCGCCTTGCTGGCTGCTTCCTATTCCACTCTACCCCGTGGCCGGAGCTCAGGCAGGACTGTTCAGGTCTGCTACAGGAAGCTCTAGGAAGAGAATCTTTGGTGGCTCTGTGGGTGACTGAGGAGGTGAGCACTTCCCCTTGTTCACACAGGTTGTGGAGGAAGCAAATGTCTGTCATGAAACCATGCAGTGAAATGGCCTACAGTGTGGAGAAGATGCCACCTAGTGTGCAGAGGACCCAACAGCAAGACGTGATGCGTGAGCCACGCACAAAGCTGCCCCCAATTTCCTGGAACATGGTCATGCTTGGCCCTATCTGCTATCCCAGTGACAACCCATAGCAGAAAGGAGTTAAGCACGCCCGGTCCCTCTGGCATCCTTAGCTCAACTTATTCAACACTGGAGGCTGCCGTCTGTCATGGGTGCTGATGTTGCTGGTGACTGCCTCTCCTTGGCACAGATGGCTGAGCCACAGCTGTCAGAGCTCAAAGAAGGGGTTATATTTCCTAAGCTCCTGGAAAAGTTTGTCTTTATCCTGGATGGCATTGGCCAATGCTTGTTTAGTTTCTATAAGTTCCTTTTGTAGGGTAGACAGTTCTTTCACCTGAGGAACAATAAGTCATTCAGTTAATGAATAAAGTAACACAACTTGAAAAAACAACAACACTCAGTACAGGAACAAGGTGGAAGAAAGATCCACAAGTTTGGCCAATGGTCAAGAGAACCCAACTCGATTTTTTCTAGAAGCCTAATCCTCTCTTCAGAGTTCATCAGTTAGAGGGACAGCAGCTGGAAGATCTGTGATCAGCAACCATCCTTCCACCACCAGCTCCTGATTTACATCCTCTATTCAACGCATCTAGAGGCTGCTACTAGGTGACAGAGCCCAAACCACCCATCCACATACAGCACGAGAAACCTTTCCAGCCTTCTGGGTTTTACCAGCTTCTGCGACTACAGTCCCTAGGGGCTTATGGGGAAGGTACTGTTCAGTCAGGTCCTCTCCTGTTGTCCAAAAGCCTCCCCTGTGAGCACCAAAAATACCTGTTCTTTTGGGGGCTGTCTCTTTTCACTGTTAGGTACTTCAGCTGATGGTCTGTCCTGAGCAGCAGCTGGAAAAAAAAGTAAAGGTTCTAAATGACAAATTGCTGCCCAGATGCAGACAATTCCTAGTTGTCACCTATTCCCTTACAGGAGAAAGACAGGGAAGCCAGGGGGCTGAAAAGCCCAACTCACCGCCTACGTGGAACACACCATCATCACTCCGCTTCAGCACAATATGCTCCATGGCTAGAGTGATGGGCACGGGGCCTGGAGACGTTGGGTAGATGGGGGGGATATCATCCTACAGGAAAGAGGGAATGCATGATGCCCCAACCAACTCAGAGCAATCAGGTAACAACCCAGGCTTCTCCCATTCAGTCTGAAGCACTGCTATGTCATCGTTTATCCATACATTCTTGCAAGGGTGTGAGAGGCAGCAATGAGTCTCTCTAGAGATGGTGAAACTGAGGATCAGATAAACTAGGGATTGCACACCATCATGCTGCACGCCAAGGACAAGGTCAGGGCTACAGACAGGTCTTCTGACCTGAACACAGGACTTTTTGACAACACATATGTATGTAGAGCTATAACACTGACAAAGAATGCGAATATGCTTTTCCTCACTCACTCCTCACTCCTTTTACAGTGACAAGGCAAGAGGCTAAAGCTGTCGCTGCCAGAATTCCTGGCCTGATAAAGTCTAGGGTGAAAACCCAAAGACTCTCTCACCTTCAGGGTGATCCTGGAGTTCAGGAGCTCAATCTGCATGGGAACTACCACCGGAATCTCCTCATCCTCCAAGAAGGGCCCCAGGCCATTGAGCACTGAGGTGAGCAGCTCAAGGTCACAGCCTTGAAGCAATAAATGCAGGAAGCCATTCTTTGTGGCCAGGGGGGAATGAACAGCTGCACCAGGCCCCACCTCAAAGCGAAGGCCCACAGCTGGCCTGATGTGGCAAGTCTTCGAAGTTGAGGATTCTAGAAAGCTCGTACCTTTGAGATGACAGAAGGAAAAAATTAATTAACTAATAGTCAGGGACTGTTCTAAACACTTTACGTATACATAATATTCATAACAACCCTATGCCAAAAGTATTATCATCCTTCCCATCTTAGAGATGAAGGAACTAGGACCGAGAGAATAATTGCCCAAAGTTACACCACTTATAATAGCAGGACAGGATCTGAGCACTAGCAGCCTGACCACGAAGACCATGGGCTCGGCTCCCTTGCTGTAACTCCCATGGTGGATCTGGAGGGAAAGGGCCAAAACAGCTGGCCTTGCTAAGAATGGCCAAGAAAAGCTCTGAAAACATAAAACGCTCTACTCTGCTAAATTTGAATGTCTCTTCCTTTCTGTCAAGTCTTGGTCTTCCCAGATAAAGGCACGCCTCTCTGATAAAGCCAAGCAGGATCCATGCTAATCTCAAAACTCCACAAAAAACAATCTCAGCCAAAACCGGTTTGGCTCAGTGGATAGAGCGTTGGCCTGTGGACTGAAGGGTCCCAGGTTCGATTCCGGTCAAGGGCATGTACTTGGGTTGTGGGCACATCCCCAGTGGGAGTTGTGCAGGAGGCAGCTGATCGATGTTTCTCTCTCATCGATGTTTCTAACTCTCTATTTCTCTCCCTTCCTCTCTGTAAAAAATCAATAAAAATATATTGAAAAAAAAAAACAATCTCAGCTATAGCCAAAAATATGGAACAACTGTGTACTTACATACTGCTAATGGTACAACCATTTTAGAAAACAAACTGGCATTGTCTAGAACAGTTAGAGCTATACCTTCCCTAATGACCTAGAAATGATATCCTCAGGAACAGAACTCTGGAGAACTCTCCAACATACATACTAGAGACATGTACAAGGATGTTCAAGGCAACACAAAAATACTGCAAACAATCCAAATGCCTGTTCAGAATAGACTAAAGAAGTAAATATAGTGATGGGTACAAGAGGTATTTGAGGGGTGATGGTGATGCTTGCACAACTCTGTAAACGTACTAAAAATTACTGAATTGTACATTTATAGTGAGTGAATTTCACAGTATGCTGTTTCATAAAAAGCAAAAAATTATACCCCCAATAAAGCTGTTTTTAAAAAGCAAAAAGTAGTATATTTATACAATAGAATATTATATAGCAGAGACAATGAATTATAGCTAACTCAACAGCCTGGAAGAATCTGAAGAATATCATGTTGCTTGAAAGAAGTAAATCAGGCCGAAACTGGTTTGGCTCAGTGGATAGAGCGTCGGCCTGCGGACTGAAAGGTCCCAGGTTCGATTCCAGTCAAGGGCATGTACCTGGGTTGCGGGCACATCCCCAGTGGGAGATGTGCAGGAGGCAGCTGATCAATGTTTCTCTCTCATCGATGTTTCTAACTCTCTATCTCTCTCCCTTCCTCTCTGTAAAAAATCAATAAAATATATTTTTTTTAAAAAAGAAAGAAGTAAATCAGAAAAGAATATAAACTATAATTCCACTTAGAATAACTCAAAACCCCACAAAGCAAAATAATACATTGATACAAACACGTGTGAAACTGTAAAGCAAGAGAGTAACAAATACAAAATTCAGGATGCCGTGGCTCCCTCTGACAGAGGAGAGGCAGAGGTTCAGGAGAGGAGTCCAGGGCTTCAAAGTTAATGGCACTGTTTTATTAAACTAGGAGGTGGGTATGTGGATTCACTGTATTGTTATTTTTTTATACCTTACATATACCTTATAAGTATTCCTTAGTATTTACTGAATATTTTAAAAACCAAAATTTTAAATGAAACATGTAACACAAGCCCAGATTTTTCCTGTCATCTTTTAAAGTCTAAATGATAATTCACATCAAAGGATTTAATCTGAGTGACAGAAGCTCCTTGGTCAGATATAATTTGATGTGAGCAGCCACACGAACGAATAAGTGGACACTGTCCTCATGCATAAGCTTAAGGAGCATGTGGGAAATGAAAATGAAGACTAACCTACTACTGAATGCAAAGCCCCAGAAAGAAGTTCCTGGCAAGAAGGCGGCTTCGTTGGGAGTCCTTCCTCCCCCAAATGGCTACTGGAGAGAAAGGCTAAGGGCTTGGCTAGGGCAGCTGCCGCTGGAGCAGTGACAGGAACCAGTTAAGCTCTGGCTGCCCCAGACAAATCCCACCAGCTTGCCTGGAATGGCCGCCCTCCTTACCCGGGCACTGTCCATGCAGGAACGGCCAGAGTCCCACGGTGCCCAGGTGCTGCAGGCTCAGTTCCTCTGCTTGCAGGGCCACAGTCAGGTCCTGACCACGTACCTCAATCCCCAAAGACACCTCATTTACCTTCAGCACCAGAACCGAGACCTGTAAAAGGAGACTATCTTAGCTGATTCCTGAGCTTCCAGCCTAGAGCCTGCCCTCTGCAGAGAAGGAAGGAGAGCAGCTGACCGGGTGAGGGTGGAGGTCTTCCCCACTGGGTGGGGCCAAACTATTGGCCCCTGGTGACCCCTGTCCACAACTCTCCACGATGGAGCTCCCTTGAACACCAGCACTGTCCAGGGCACTTGGAAGAGATCCTGGTGGAAGAGATTCTGAACCAGACTCTGCATAAGAAAGACAACAAAAGAGTTTGAAAGTCAAAAACTTCTGTTCAAATACAATCTCTAAAAACAATGACAATTGCAAAGACAAAACATGACATTTATGAGATTAGAAATTTGAAGACTAACTACATATTTGATGAATTTAAGGAATTAGTTAATTTTTAAAAGTGCAATAGTATTTTATCTATAATATTTTAAAAGTCTATAAATGGAAGCAAGTCAAGTGTCCATGGATGGATGAATGGATAAACAAAATACGAAGGAAATTCTGACACATGCTACGACGTGAATGAACCTTGAGGACATTATGTTAGGTTAAACAAGATGGTCACAAAAGAACAAGTACTGTATGCTTCCACTTATATGAGGTACCTAGAATGGTCAAATTCATAGAGAAAGAAAACAGAATGATGGTTAACAGGAGTATAGGCATAGAGTTTCATTTTTTCAGGATGAAGAGTTCTGGAGATGGATAGTAGAGATGGTTGCACAACTATCTGAATGTACTTAATGCCATTGAATTATATTTAAGAGTTAAGATGGTCAATTTATGTGTCTTTTGCCATAATTAAAAGTTTGTGTTTTCTAGAGATGCATAATGAAAATATTTGTGGATCAAATGATATGTTTGGGATTTGCTTCAAAATAACATGGGAAGAAGGGAAGTGGGCAGAAGTATGTATGAAACAAAAATGACCATGTGTTCTTAATATTTGAAGCTAGGTAATGGGTATATGAGGGTTCATGACTTCATTCTGTCTACTTTTATATATATATTTGAAATTTCCCATAAGAAATTAATAATAATAATAACAGCCCAGCTGGGGTGGCTCAGTGGTTAAGCATCCTACAAACCAGGAAATCACAGTTTAATTCCCAGTCAGGGCACATGCCTGGGTTGTAGGTTTGATCCCCAGTGTGGGACGTGAAGGAGGCAGCCAATCAGTGATTCTCTCTCATCACTGAGTGTTTCTCTCTCTCTCCCTCTCTCTTCCTCTCTAAAATCAATAAAAAATATATTTAAAAATAATAATAACAAAACAAACATGGGCACACACCACTCAGCTTAAGAAACAGTACATTCTCTTTTTTTTTTCATTTAGACACTTAAGGAACAATTTTTTTTTAAATATATTTTATTGATTTTTTTTTTTACAGAGAGGAAGGGAGAAGGATAGAGAGCTAGAAACATCGATGAGAGAAACATCGATCAGCTGCCTCCTGCACAGCCCCCACTGGGGATGTGCCCGCAACCAAGGTACATGCAATTGACCGGAATTGAACCTGGGACCCTTCAGTCTGCAGGCCGACGCTCTATCCACTGAGCCAAACCAGCCAGGGCCTTAAGGAACAATTTTTTTAAAAAAATACATTTCTACTGATTTCAGAGAGGAAGAGGGAGGGAGAGAGAGAAACATCAGTGATGAGAGAAAACCATTGATCGGCTGCCTCCTGCACACCCCCTACTGGGGATCGAGCCACAACCCAGGCTTGTGCCCTTGACTGGAATCAAACCCAGGACCCTTCAGTCCGCAGGCCAACGCTCTATCCACTGAGCCAAATCAGCTAGGGCAAGGAACAATTTTAAAAGTTTGCTTTCCAGTGTAATTTCCTATGGTAATTGATCTAATTCCTAAAAGTTGTTTGTTTTATCATAGACAAAAAGCTCCTAGTTATTTTTCAATAATAAAATACATAGTTGGGCAAAAACCAGACAGCACACACACACCATAACACCAGTCACAAAACTAATGCTATGCTGCAGCTGGGTGGCTGTATGACTGGTCTCGTTCTGTGATAAAGGCCAGGCACTAAACAATAACCTAGAAGATGTGGGGATAAAGCTAGCCACAAATCCATTAAAATTTCTCTTTTTTCTGTTTTGGTTAAGAAAATGTCTATTTTATCAAATCTCAGGTCCTTCTGCACCCTACCAGTCTGAATACAAGCAGGAGAAAGAACCCTTTCTGGACTTCTAGAACATTGGCTGGCTCTGCTTCCACTTACCAGACTCCATGAGCATCACGAACCCATCACTACCATCGCTGTCTACTGAAATCCGGTCTTCAGGGCCACTGCTATCCAATGAGACACCATCAAATGACTGCTGAGACACTGTCCTCTTCATGGAAAAAAATCGGAGTCGGGAACCACCTCCACTCACTGGGGCTGCCACCTTCTCCTCTATCTTGGCCATGGTCTCCCTGTTCAAAAACAAAACCCACAGATGTGGCTTCAGAAACACTGTTTCGTTCCCTTGCAATATCCATCCCTTCAGCCCAGACAGTTATTATATACATACACTTTGATGTCAACTATTACCTGCTATAGAGGGGAGGGGTGTCACACCATTTTAACAGGTGGCCTTTATGAATCCTCATATTCCAGCATTTCAAGCTGCATAAGCAGCTCTCCCTTATCAACATTCAATGTCAAGGTTATATATATAAGGTCATCCCATATAGAGAAGAGAACAACTACCTACCTACCTACAGCCCATGCTAATGAATAGCTACCTAATGAATAGCACTTGAATCCACCCACATTCGTTCCACAAGTATTTACTGAATAACTTCCGCATACAAGGACCAATCTAGGCACAGGGCAGCGGTGGAGGGTAATAAAGTAATGAATAAGACATCCCCTGTCCTCAAGAACTTACCATCTAGAAGGCAGGAGGAGACTCAAACATAAATAACACTCTATGGGAGTAAGTTACATATACCATAAGAGAGGGACAGAGGTACAAGCCAAAGATGAGGAGAAGGGGATCAAAAATGGCTTTGTGGAAGGAGACGGCATTTGAGTTGGTCTTTGAAGGACTGTGAAAGAGGTGGGGAAAAGAGCATTTTATGGTGAAGAAACAGCATAAGCAAAGGCACAGAACCAGAAAACAAAAAGTCCCTTTAGAGACTAGTAAGTAGCTCAGCCCAACTGGAGCATAAATTTTGTTAGGGAAAGAAATGGAAGATAGAGGAGAACCAAGATGGCGGCATAGGTTAACGCCGGACTTTGCTGCCTCGAACAACCACTTCAAAAATACAACTAAAAGACGGAACGGACATCACCCAGAACCACAGGAAGGCTGGCTGAGGAGAGATTCTACAACTAGAAGTAAAGAGAAATCCATACCCAGACTCAGAGGAGGCGCAGTGCGGAGGTGAAATACTAAGGTGCGGAGTGCATGTGGAGCGGGCCGGCGGCGGAGGGCGCGGTTGTTGTTTTCAATCGGGAGGGAGTTTCAGACTCTGAACTCTAGATCCGGCGAGTCTCTAGGGACCCAGACTCAAACGGGAGAAGTGGGAAGGCAGCTTTCTCTCCGAGGTTCGCAGCGGATGCTGAGAATCTGAGAGGCAGAGCTGCTGGGGACGGAACTGAGAGCAGCCATAACTGCTCGCCCCGCCCGCCCTGTAGATCCCCTGGGACCCGCCCCGCCCAAGCCCTGCACAGAGGCATTTGCCGGATAGCCTCAGGCAAAGGCTAGATTAGCACCGCCCTAGAGATTCAGCACAGAAGCTCTCCCACTGCAGACACAGCTGACTCTCATAGCCAGTTAGCCTGGAGGTCAATTCACCCCTAGTATTGCCGACAACAATTAAGGCTTAACTACAACAAGACTGCGCACAAAGACCACAAGGGGGTGCACCAAGAAAGCATAAAAAATGCGGAGACAAAAAAACATGACAGAAATGGAGGATATAGAGCTAAAAAACGCACTTTTGAGGGCTTTCAATAATTTGCTAGAAACTGCCGATAAACTTGATGAGAGCCTCAAGAAATCTAATGAGACCCTCGATGTTGTGATAAAGAACCAACTAGAAATTAAGCATACACTGACTGAAATAAAGAATATTATACAGACTACCAACAGCAGACCAGAGGAGCGCAAGAATCAAGTCAAAGATTTGAAATGCAAAGAAGCAAAAACCACCCAACCGGAAAAGCAAAAGGAAAAAAGAATCCGAAAATACGAAGATAGTGTAAAGTGCCTCTGGGACAGCTTCAAGCATACCAACATCAGAATTATAGGGGTGCCAGAAGATGAGAGAGAGCAAGATATTGAAAACCTATTTGAAGAAATAATGACAGAAAACTTCCCCCACCTGGTGAAAGAAATAGACTTACAGGTCCAGGAAGCGCAGAGAACCCCAAACAAAAGGAATCCAAAGAGGACTACACCAAGACACATCATCATTAAAATGCCAAGAGCAAAAGACAAAGAGAGAATCTTAAAAGCAGCAAGAGAAAGAAACTCAGTTACCTACAAGGGAATACCCATACGACTGTCAGCTGATTTCTCAACAGAAACTTTGCAGGCCAGAAGGGAGTGGCAAGAAATATTCAAAGTGATGAATAGCAAGAACCTACAACCAAGATTACTTTATCCAGCAAAGCTATCATTCAGAATTGAAGGTCAGGTAAAGATCTTCACAGATAAGGAAAAGCTAAAGGAGTTCATCACCACTAAACCAGTATTATACGAAATGCTGAAAGGTATCCTTTAAGAAGAGGAAGAAGAAGAAAAAGGTAAAGATACAAATTATGAACAACAAACATGCATCTATCAACAAGTGAATCTAAGAATCAAGTGAATAAATAATCTGATGTACAGAATGAACTGGTGATTATAATGAATCAGGGACATAGAAAGGGAATGGACTGACTATTCTTGGGGGGGAAAGGGGAGTGGGAGATGCCGGAAGAGACTGGACAAAAATCGTGCACCTATGGATGAGGACAGTGGGTGGGGAGTGAGGGCGGAGGGTGGGGCGGGAACTGGGAGGAGGGGAGTTATGGGGGGGGAAAAAAGAGGAACAAATGTAATCTGAACAATAAAGATTTAATTTAAAAAAAAGAAATGGAAGATAAAGTAAAAAAGGCATAACATCGTGAAAAGAAGCCTTCAAATACCTTTTTTTAAAATAAAATATATTTCTTTATCAATATCAGAGAGGAAGGAAGAGGGAGAGAGAGATAGAAACATCAATGATGAGAGAGAATCACTGATCGGCTGCCTCCTGCACGCCCCCTACTGGGGATCGAGCCCACAACCCAAGCATGTGCCCTTGGCCAGAACTGAACCTGGGACCCTTCAGTCCACAGGCCAACGCTCTATCCACTGAGCAAAACTGGCTAGGGCTTCAAATACCTTTTAATCCTACACTCCCATTTTACAGATGAAGAAACTGACTCATGAGTAAAGATGAATTTTTAAAAAACCCAAATCTAAAAAAAAAGAAACAGAAAAAGAAAAACCCAAGACTATTACCTTCTTGCAAAGCACTTTTTTTCACTTTACCACATGGTTGCAGCCAAATTACAGAAAACCCTGGGTGAAAGATTATATATGAAGGTGCTCCAGCTGATTCTGAAGTAGGCTTACATCTGAGAATCCCTGCTCTAGGAATTGTGGGAAATCTCTGTACCTTCTGCTCAGTACTGATATACTCTAAAGAAATACAGTCGATTATCCTCCTATTTAATAAAAGGCTAATATGCAAATTGACCAAATGGCAGAAAGACCAGTCACTATGATGCACACTGACCATCAGGGGGCAGATGCTCAACGCAGGAGCTGCCCCCGGGTAGTCAGTGTGCTTCACTGCCCAGCTAGAAGCCAGGCTCACAGCTCGCTAGTGCAGTGGCAGAGGCAGGAGCCTCTCCCGCCTCCGCTGCAGACAGGCGGTAAGGAGCAGGGGGTCCTGAACTGCGAGAGCCCCGGACTGTGAGAGGGATGTCTTACTGCCAGCTTAGGTCCGATCCTGAGGGGTCCCAGACTGTGAGAGGGCACAGGCCGGGCTGAGGGACCCCCCTCCCATCCCCAGTGCACAAATCTTGTGCAGGGGGCCTCTAGTTTAAAATAAATAAATAAAAACTGTAAAGTGCCATGTGATTTATGCCACACGAAATATTTCAATTCAGGGGATATGAGGAAAGAGCCTGAAGGTTTTAGAGTAGAGAAATAACAAGATCATACCTGTGTTTTAGGAAGTTTGACCTGGCTTTTTCTAACAAGTTAGAAAGTAAAGACTTCAATGAGTAATTCAATTAATTGTTTTCTAAAACAGTTGACATTTGGGGACAAACAGGAGCAACTGATGTGAGATTCCCTCAATGAGGAACTGGGGGTAGGGCTCAGCAGTGTTTTCACAAGTTCTCCAGCTGATTCTGAAGCAGGCTTATGTCTGAGAATCCCTGCTCTAGGAATTGTGGTCCAAACTTGACCAATGACTGAATGAGCGGAGTCAAAATGTAGAACTTGAACGAGCAGACTGATGATACCAAAAGGGGAAAGAACTGGTCTGGGGAGAGAGAAGGAATTTAGCTATATGTATGTGAGGTTCCAGGCACTCCTGGGACATCCCTTTGGAACTACATGCAGTAGATACTTTTAAATGAGTAGGGGAAGGAAGTCAGGATTGAAAATAGGGAATATAGCAGAATTGAGGAAATGGATAAAATAACCGAGAGAGAAAGCATTCAAAAGCACAGGCTGATATAAATCTTCAGAAAGTTTGGCAAATGCATCAAGAACTTTAAAAATGTTTGTAGTGTTTGACCCCAATAATTCTATTTCTAGATTTAATTTGCATAAACAGTATTGTTCACAAAAATAAGGACATTTAACACAGCATCGGTTCTAGCTGAGAAAAACTGGAAACAGACTAAATGAGTTACGCCTAGATAGTGGAATAGATGAATAAATCATGATACAACAGTTTGCTAGAACATAATAGAGCAATTAAAAATTATGCACACATAATTTTGAATAGGAAAATGAATGGGAAAATATTCACAACAAAACATTAAGTGAATAAAATTGGACATTTTCTATATCCTATAGAAGTATAATCCCATTGTAAAAACCATATTTGTATATATATGTGTGTATACACATATCAGCATTCACATGGATACACAAATATATACATGAACACTGGAAAAAAATAGATGCAAATGTAAATAGTGGCTATCTCTGGACAGCATCATTGCAAGTGGCTTTCATGTTTTCTTCTATTTTTTACATTGTCAACAAAGTGAGCACAATCATTTTTATAATTAAAAATTATGACCAAGGTGATGAGAATGCACGGTTACATTTACAGGATAAAGGGAAGAAGAGAGCAGCTAAGGAAGAAGAAAAGACTCCTCCCTCTGAAGTCACACACGCTCAGGATGAACCGACTGGCAGGAGTCACTGCCACTGCGGAGGCCAGGGTGAGGACTGCGAAAAGCCCACTGGCCTGCACAGTTAGGACGTCACTGCAGGTGTTTAAAAAAAAACTTGTATCACACACCTTTCTCTGCTCTTTCCATCTCTCCTCTTTCCCATCTCCCTTACTCTTCTGCATTTAGAAAAGGCAGCACATTTGGTGACTGGCAGTCCAGGCTTTTAATCCTCGCCCCACCACTCACAAGTTGTGTGATCCTGAGCAAATTCCTTACCTCTCTGAGCCTGTTTCCTCATTGGTAAAATGGGGAGGGAGTGATACCAGTACCCGCCTTATAGGGTTGTTACAAGAGTTCAATGGACTAATATTATACGTATTTAGGACAGTGCCTGACAAAAAAAGCACTCATTAAATGTCAGCTGGAATTATTATATCATTCACCCCCCTAAAAGCATTCCTGTTTCCTTCTTCCTAGACTATGTAGGCCTAGCAGGTTCTAGCACAGCCCCCTGTAATGTTGAGAGATCCACTTAAGACAATCCATTCAGACAAAAGCTCTTAAGCCACCAGTTTTCATACCAAGGTCCCCAAACCACGAAATGTCCCAGCAAAGATTTCCTGTAGTCTTCATTCTCTTTCCTAAAACCACAAGGCACCTAATGGAAAATCTGTACCTTTCCACTCTTCTGGCTCCATTTCTGTGTTTCTGCTTACTCCCTACTTATCTCCAGTGCCTACCACAGAGAACGGCACACAGTAGGGCTTAAAAATTATTGCTGAACGAGAGGATGAACTTCTTCCTCCTCTATTCTCCTGTCAGACCTTGATAAGATGTATCAGAAAGAGCAAATCCAAAGCCCAGCTTTTGATCCACCACACAGGTTTCTTGGGCGCATCCTCCCTGAGGCCTGTTTCCTCAGCCATAAACTAAGGATACAAGTATCTGCAGCTACCTTACCAGGTTGCCAGGGGGATCCAATCAAATCAAATGCTACACTAGCGCTCACTGAAGACTAGAATATCATACAGATGGCAGGCATTATCATTCCAATGTAGCATATCTGATATAACAGTGAGTCAGAGAAAGAGGAGATAATTTAATCCTAAGAAGCAACTGACTTGAAAGCTGCCCAAGAATAGTTTATGATATGTGGAGGCATGTGAAATCACATGGGATTTTGTGTTATTTTATTGGGATTTCTGGTTCTTCACCTATCACAGAATTAGATGTAGCCTGAAAATGAGTCTCTCCAATTGGTGTACCTGTTACCCTCCAAGTAGCCTGAAAATTCCTCCACTGCCCTACCCTGCAGGCAGCTCTGAAAACCAAGGCTTTGCCACATTAAACAGGCCATTCTATGCATTCTTCGGGACTGCACGGTACATCCCACTCTAAAAACACTCACAGTAAAAGACTGTAAGTCTAATGACCATAACCAGGAGGAAGAGATGGGGTAAGCGAAGGAAGCAGAGAAGCACTCACTTGGCTGGGGGCAGGGACAGCATCTTGTGCATGGTGGAGCTCATTCGGTCTTTGCCCAGACCTAAGACATCCTTGGTCAAAGACACAGCTTCCTTGGTGAGGTCCATGGTGGCATGCAGAGCCTCCTTGGTGGCATCCTTGGTCGTATGCATAGCACTTGACAATTCTCCCTCAATGTTCTTCAGGGGTGCAAGCTCACTCTGTCCATTCACAGTGGTATCCCTAACACCTGGGGGCTTCAGGGCAGCTGGTGAGCTGGATGCTTGGGCTCTGCTTAGTCTCTTGGCCTGTAGCGAATCGAATGCCTCATGGCCCTTCCCTGCCCACTGCTGTGCAAGAGAAGCTGAGTGCTGCAGCTCTCCATGGCTATAGAGAGGCAGTGACCTATCCTGGGCTGCATCCAGATTTCCAATGCCACTGTCCTCCAGAAACGTCTCAGGGCTTGCTGGGCCCTGGTCTGAGGAGGCATCAGACTTCAGCTCCCGATCCTCGGAAGGAGACAGCTCCGAATCTATGAGGCTGGTGGTATCTAAACCCACAGAATCAGCTTCGGCAGCACCAGGGGCAGGATGCATGAGCAGAGCCACCTCAGCGCTGGGGAAGAGGACCCCAATGCAAGCTGTCGGGTCCTGCATGGCAGACCCAGTCATGGCCTCTGTATCCTTCATCAGCTGCTCCTGAAGACCCTGGAGCACCTCCTGCAGGCGGAGCAGAGCCAAGTACTGGTAGTGGTCGAGCCTCACTCGGACATGGTCAGGGGAGTGTACAAGCATGTGAACCTCTGCCGTGTCCTGCAGCTCGGTCAGAGGCTCTTTGATATCCACACCACCACCGCCGCCTTCTCTCAGAGTCTCCATGACTTCAGTAAAACCTGACAGGCTTTTCAAATCATGTTCAGTCTTTGACCTCAGATGGGACACAGTGTCAGGGGCTAGGGCCCCAGACTGAACAGTACTGCCAAAGCTGGCTGATGGTTTCAGCCTCCCTTCTGCGGCCAAAAGGAGCTTCTGTGCCTGGGCCTGCTGCCAGCGCAGGGGTAGGCAGGCCCAAAGGGACAAGGGGAAGGGGGCCACAAAATTCAAGGTACGGCCTTTGAAGTTCTCTGTTCCCTCAAAGTCCAAGGAGATCTGGGGGAAGTGGATGGACCAGAGATCCTGGGAAGCCGTAGGCCTCTGGGGAGGGAGGGTGCTAGCATGAGGGAGGCTGGAATCCATCTGGAAGGCATGCTGCACAAAAAGCATATGCAGGAGACTGAAGCCACCTGGAACCTTGGGGAACTGAACATAATTGGAATGAAAGAACTCAGCAGCAGCAAAACCCTGGAAGAGACTGTGGAGATCTGGACAGTTGTAGTGTGGGGTATGACGCGTATTGGTGGCAGTCATGGACGATGCAGAGAAGACTAGGGCCTGGGGCCGATGCAGCCCAGCCTGCTCTCTCTTCTCCAGCGGGAAGCTTACCTTCAGAGAGAAAAGGAAACCCAATTCAGAATGGCCAGATGAGTATCTGCACGCCCCACCATTAACACAAAAGGAAAGACCACTGCAGCTGTGAAACTGTTTTCCTTATTCTGTCAAGAGGACAGGGCAGAACCCTGGATCGTAACGGGCGAAATGCAGCTGTGGCTGTCAACAGGGAACAAGAATCCCACTCTCTCCCTACCTTCAACCGGAAGGCATCCAGTCGGATGTCCAAGTGCTCATCTTTCTGGCTGGAATCTTCCAGTTTGTAGATAGCTTTGAACTGCTCCAAGCTGCGGTATAAATCCAGGCAGAAGAGGTTTCCCCAGAGCAAGCTGACAGGATCCACAGTAAATGTCAGACCATTTAATTCAATGTAGAGATTGGGACAGGGAACTGGAAAGCAGAGAAGAGAATCGCCATGTACAAAGTAGCAGCTCGACTCCTACTTACCAGCTAGTATTCATTTTACTATCAAGAGAGCAAAGGTACATATTTATACAGGGCAGAGTCTTTAACAAAGGTGTGCTAAACTAACTCAAATACCCTAAACTCCTAACAACAAGTGAGAATATAAGTACAGTCCCAAGTCTGACAAATGGGAAGATCATGCCTAGACGAGAAGAAATGGCCACCTCCGATGCTTACCTGGAAGCTCCTGATTATCTGGGAAATAATACTCTGTGAACTCAATGTGAATGGCGGAGACCTGAGCGGGTAGGTTGTAAAGTTTCCGACTGCAGGAAAGGAGTGTAGATGGCTTCTTACTGGGCTGTTTAGCTGTAGAAACCTGTTATTACAAATTGCTGTTAGCATCTGTGCTGCACCCAGAATACAATTTCCTCCATTTCCTCTACTATCCTTCTAGCCTGTCCCAGGGAGCATAGTGCTTCTACATGTATCTTCCACGTGTTCCAGGCATTCTCACACCTGCCTAACACTATCCACAAGTTCATGTTTTCAATGGAAGGTTTGTAAGGTGTGTAGTAGGATATTCACAGGAAACTGGTGGAATCCCAAGTACAGATCTCAACAGACATGCTCGGAAGGAAAGACACGAAAGTGTCGATCCACCCAGAAGTTAGGGAAACAGACCCCAAATTCCACAACTTTGTTCACACTGTTGCCTTCCAAGGGAACTGCCCACCCCTTTCCAATCACGCTTCCCCGTGCCCTGGACTCCTCACCTGATGGATGTCCAAGTCATCCACCCGTATTACCAGGCAGCTAGAGCGTAAGCGATTCCATGCTGGAGGCCGAAAGGCAGCCTTTCTTCCCTGAGAGGGGTTTCTCTCAAGCGAGTTCTTTCGAGTACTGGAGAGAGAATCTAAATAAAAATTAAAAGGTGGGAAAGACACTCAGACACATTCAACTCTCATTATTAATAGAATTAGGAAGTAAAAATCCTAATTAGGATTATAAAGTGATGACCCTAAGATCATTAATGCCATTTGTAGGAAAGACAGCCTAACACTGTCTAGCTTCTGGATGGAACTCAAAAATTATCTTCTCGCTAAGACCAAGCAACAGCGATTGAATAGAGGTGATGGCACCCTCTTGCAACATTGCAGCCATCCCTGGGGACAAACAGGGCTGGGTAAAGAAAAAAGTCATAATGACTCTCATGGGATAAGGCTGGGATAACTAGCTAGTCCAGTGCTTTGTCTCACTGGATATTCAAAGGGAAATAGCCAGAGGCTAAGCAACAGGAGTCCTCCAGCTCCTTGTAACCCACCTGCTTTCTTCTGGAGGGGAGAGTCTACCCCCAGGTGCCAGGGAGGTTTCAGACCCATCTCCTCATGCCACTTCTCCATTTTACTCTGAAATTCCATCACCAATTTCTGGGCCCACTGGCCTCGGGTCTCCATGGCCTCACAGTGCCGTACCCAGTGTTTGCAGCTGTCGCCTGTGCAACAAAAAAGCAAAAAGATTTTAGAACAAGATCATGATCCAATGTCCAATTTTCCCCTTCCACTGGTATAGTCACAGTTCAGAATCTGATCCCTCAGCCCTAATCCAGAATTTTCTGGGATATGTAAAAATCAACCAGTCAGCGCACTCAAGTTCTGGATTCCACATGTGACCTTCCCCTCAGCTTCCCAAAGGCCAGCTTCTGGATGCCGCCATCTTTGACTACGGACTACTGGAGAGGCTCTAACCAGTGAAGTAAGGGGCAGAGGGTAGAATCAAAAGCAACACCTCAGGCATTGCCTTCCCTCCCCTCCCTCTCACCCCAATAAAGAATCATCTATAATGGACCCTGAAAGTTTCCAGAAGGTGTCATTTGGAAGAGGGCTATTTCCAGTATCTCAGGGGCTGCAAGCCCTCGCACCGTCCTGCGGGGCAGTCGGGGAGGAACCCAGGAATCTGCGCTCAGTACCTGGGCCATGCTGGAACGGCCCCATTCAGAACTCCCATACCTGCCCAGTGGAAGGGGTAGTAGTCAAATGCCATCTTGCGGAAGGTAAGCTGCATGGCGCCATCCATGAGTCTGTTTGCAGAGACACCTATAAAACAAAAAGAAAGGTGACTAGCAACAGGAGGAACAAAGACGCCTAAGCACCTCTTGAAGCATTAAAAGTTCTCTTCAGGACCTGATACACAGTGCACCTGAAAGGCCATGGCATCAGGTGATTTTCAAGACTGAGTCCCTCCTTTTTCGAGTTGCAACAGCCAATGGACATGCTCTAAAAGATCCCCCCAAAAAGTATATTCCACTGTCTCTATAAATAGCTGCCACATTTCTAAAAAGGCCAAAGAGACGGAAAAACTCAGGATTCAGGAGTTCCAATCCCAGGTCTCCCATAGGCACATGATACCAACCTAGATTGATTGACTCAGCGGTCTCCAACCTTTTGGACCTCACAGACCACCAGTGGTCCTCGGACCACC